ATACTGAAACATGTATTCCTACCCCCTGAACATGCCACAGATTGAATTAATCTAATCTATATTTGCAGAACTTACATTACCAAAGGAATCTGTCTAACAGCTATGTTTTACCATCCCTGGCTAACATATGCACATATAAACTAAAATATGTGCAATAAATATGAATTATGGTTAAAAATAGGCCTTGATGAATGAAAAAAATGCCATATTTGGTCTATGATCACCCCTCTCTAACAGAAGGGTCACAGAATACACAATTTTCACAAATTTGGGAATATTTCAATGTTTCCAACATCTCAAACCTCAGAGGCATGTTACAAATTTGTATTGCAATCCTTGTGCTGAAGCAAGATGTCTGGAACTTTACATTAATTTCCTGAAAAAATGTAGTCAAAAAAGTAGTCATGACAGACTTGACAACATAAAAAGAGGCCTGAAAAGGAGAAAAATTAACATTTTATTGTTTTATAGGCAACATAAATGCAGCAAACACCACAAATGCTGGATTTTGATAAGAAAATATTGAACATTAAACTGACATTTACACATCTACACCAGTTTTATATCTGGGTCTGGTCTCATTGGCCTGAAATGCCTCAGGGTTCTACGTTTGACTCTGAACAAATAAGGGTTAGAAATCCTTGAAATGCATAAAAAAAATATTTTTGGGTGAAAAATAACATTCTTAGCTGTAATTCAACCACAAATTCCAATTAAGATCATTTACATGTCAACACAGGTGCATTTAAATCCCTCAAAACACATTAATAGAAAAGGGTGGGGTGGGGCATTTATTGCCTCTCTAAACAGAATGATGGAGTAAAAAATGTCTAGAAAGGCTGGGATATTGCTTCCTACATGAAGGGAATGCAAGAATTTAATGTTTCAAAGAAGAAAAAAATGCTTATTCTGGGTAAAATAGTGGCAAAATTGAGCCAACCCCTGTTTTGAACATTTTGTACAAACCCATCTGCTGTACATTATTAACTCAGTGTTACCAATTTTCAATTTTCTGTAGGAAAGCTGGAGCTATTTCTAAACCTGACAAACATGTAGATCCCATCTAAGTTATATTAGCAAAGAAAATATGGGCATTTTTAGACATTTTGACTCATTTTAGTAGTCATGAAAATATTAATTTCTACATCCAAATGGGGGGAATCTCAAGATTTTTTGTGAATATTCCTGATTTTTAGACAAAATTTGGTGAAATTTCAATACTGTTCATTTTATCTGTGCTTTCAGAGACTGAATAAGCCAACATTGGGCATTAGAATATTTTACTTACTGTTAAAAATTCAATAAAAATTGAAAATTGAGAAATTTGCAGTAAAATCACAATTTTTCTTCAAAACTTTGATTTTTTTTTTTTTTTAATTAACTTTTTTTAGTTTTTCTGTAGCCAAACTATTTTATTCATATTTTCTGAGAATTTAATCTTCATATTTTCAAAACTAAGGCATATCAGTGACAGCCTTATCACACACAGACAGGACAGAGATCACTAAAGATTTCCCCATTGACTCCAATGTTAATTCTCGTATCTTAGACCGGCTCTAACTTTTTCCCAAATTTTCGTTGGGTAGAACGCTTTCTACCACAGATGGAGCAACATGTGGCAACCACTTGCCCAAAAGCACGTATGAGGTTCTTCATGAAAAACTTGAGATACACAAGCTGGAAGTAGAGACAAGTAAACATGCAATTTCAGGCCCTACATTTCAACGTAACCAACCTCTCAACTCTTGTATCCTTCCGCATCAAAATTATGAATATTCACCAAAACCTGGCAGAAAATGTATTTTCAAACCCTTTTCCTCAATTCTACACCAAAAAGTCAACAAAAATCGCCATGCAAAAGGGGGAAAAAGGAAAAGGGAGAGGAAGACTAAAAATAGCTTTGGCCCTTGTTTCGTGGGTGACGGCGTAGGAATATTTGGTGATCTGTGTCCTATATAGGGGTGAAACTTCAGGGATCACCAAAAGGCCTTTTTTATTTCCTTCCCATGTGTTCTGGCAACATGCCGGTGAAAGAAAATCAAAATCAAAGAATAACTGTAAAAATGATGGCCCTTTAAGTACACATGCTGCTTTATGTACACTGGTGCATCTCAGGTCCATAGGCCTTTTGTGCTAAAATTTAAAAATCTTTCTTATTAAAGGCAGTATCTGAGTTCTGTGAAAAAATTAGACAAGTAACAAAGAAACTACATAGAAAACACTCATAATTTGGAATTTTTTTCAAAAATATAATTTTTTACTGCCATGTGATGAAAAATGTACAAAATTTACATGTAGCATCTCTCAAAATACCAATAATTTTCCACTTTTTTAAATATCCGGACGGACAAGAAATATATTTTTAGAATCTGTGAACAATATGCAAACAGAAAAAATGCAAACCAATTGCAATGATTGTAATATTAGAGATCTATACTGAAACATGTATTCCTACCCCCTGAACATGCCACAGATTGAACAAGCCAACAGTGAGGCTGATGTCCCCCGCCGAAATAGGAAAATAATTAGAGAGTTATTGTGTTCCAAAGTCTCAGCAAATCAAATTGCTTATCGCTCTGCTTAATCTGAGCAGAAAATGCTCATTATCGATCTTAGTCAAGGTATTACTGTAATGAAACTATACACCAAGTTTCATCACTCTCACTTAATTAGAACTAAAGTTATAGTGTCCCAAAGCATCAACCAATCAAATTGTTTATCTCTGCTTACCCTAAGCGGAACGGACAGACAAACAGACAGACGGACGAACCCATTTTAATAGTTCCCTGCTTTCTTCGAAAGGCGGGGGACAATAAGCATGAACATTTACTCAATTCGAAGATCAACCAATCAAATTGTTTATCTCTGCTTACCATAAGCGGAACGGACAGACAGACAAACAGACAGACGGACGAACCCATTTTAATAGTTCCCTGCTTTCTTCGAAAGGCGGGGGACAATCAAAGTAGGAGAGTTATTGTTTTCCAAAGTCTCGACCAATCAAATTGCGTATCGCTCTGCTTACCCTGAGCAGAAAATGCTCATTATCAAACTTAGTCAAGGTATTACTGTAATGAAACTATACACCAAGTTTCATCAATCTCACTTAATTAGAACTAAAGTTATCGTGTCCCAAAGCATCAACCAATCAAATTGCTTATCTCTGCTTACCCTAAGCTGAAAATGCTCATCTTCGAACTCCATCAAGGCATTGACCTAATCAACACATACACCAAGTTTGAACATTCTAGCTCAATTAGGAAGAGAGTTATCGTGCCCCAAAGTATCAACCAATCAAATTGCTTATCTCTGCTTACCCTAAGCGGAAAATGCTCATCTTCGAACTCCATCAAGGCATTGACCTAATAAACACATACACCAAGTTTGAACATTCTAGCTCAATTAAAAGTTATCGTGTCCCAAAGCATCAACCAATCAAATTGCTTATCTCTGCTTACCCTAAGCGGAAAATGCTCATCTTCGAACTCCATCAAGGCATTGACCTAATCAACACATACACCAAGTTTGAACATTCTAGCCCAATTAGGAAGAGAGTGATCGTGTCCCAAAGCATCAACCAATCAAATTGCTTATCTCTGCTTACCCTAAGCGGAAAATGCTCATCTTCGAACTCCATCAAGGCATTGACCTAATAAACACATACACCAAGTTTGAACATTCTAGCTCAATTAGGAAGAGAGTTATTGTGTCCCAAAAAGTGTGACGGACAGACAGACGGATAGACAGACGGACAGACAGACAGACAGACAGACGGACGAACCCATTTTAATAGTCCCCTGCTTTCTTCGAAAGGCGGGGGACAATTAATCTAATCTATATTTGCAGAACTTACATTACCAAAGGAATCTGTCTAACAGCTATGTTTTACCATCCCTGGCTAACATATGCACATATAAACTAAAATATGTGCAATAAATATGAATTATGGTTAAAAATAGGCCTTGATGAATGAAAAAAATGCCATATTTGGTCTATGATCACCCCTCTCTAACAGAAGGGTCACAGAAAAACTATTTTATTCATATTTTCTGAGAATTTAATCTTCATATTTTCAAAACTAAGGCATATCAGTGACAGCCTTATCACACACAGACAGGACACAGATCACTAAAGATTTCCCCATTGACTCCAATGTTAATTCTCGTATCTTAGACCGGCTCTAACTTTTTCCCAAATTTTCGTTGGGTAGAACGCTTTCTACCACAGATGGAGCAACATGTGGCAACCACTTGCCCAAAAGCACGTATGAGGTTCTTCATGAAAAACTTGAGATACACAAGCTGGAAGTAGAGACAAGTAAACATGCAATTTCAGGCCCTACATTTCAACGTAACCAACCTCTCAACTCTTGTATCCTTCCGCATCAAAATTATGAATATTCACCAAAACCAGGCAGAAAATGTATTTTCAAACCCTTTTCCTCAATTCTACACCAAAAAGTCAACAAAAATCTGGGCAAATAATTGCTAGTCTGAGTCCACCTACGTTCAGAGCTGAACTAATAAAATACTGCCCCTTTGAAAGCTCTCTATTGTTGTTAACACGTCGCTTTGTTCTAGTTTCACTTTCATTTTGTTGTATCAGGCCACAGATCACTAATTATTTCCGCATTGACTTTAATGTTAATTCTCGTCTCTTAGACCGGCTCTAACTTTTTCCTAAATTTTGGTTGGGTAGAACGCTTTCTGCCACAGATGGAGCTACATGTGGCAAACTCTTGTCCAAAAGCATGTATGAGGTTCACCATGAAAAACTTGAGATACACAAGCTGGAAGTACATGTAGAGACAAGTAAACCTGCAATTTCCGGCCCTACATTTCAACGTCACCAACCTCACAACTTTTGTATCCTTCCGCCTCAAAATCATGAATATTCACCAAAACCTGGCCGAAAATGTATTTTCAAACCCTTTTTTTCGATTCTACACCAAAAAGTCAACAAACATCGCCATACAAAAGGGGGAAAAGGGAAAGGGAGAGAGAGAGAGAAACTAAAAATAACTTTCGCCCTACATTCGGCGTAGAAATATTTGGTGATCTGTGTCCATCAGTGTCACTGAATAATTCCACGAACTAAATATTGTCTTCTATGAAATCGTACAAGACACCACTCAAGGCGCCAATCCTCCGCTAAGCTGCTACACGTGTACCGATTACATGCCAGGTGATCGAAGTCACCCGCTTGCCTCTTAAAAAGAATAAAGTGGGTAAGTATCTTAAAATTATTACAACCCAGTCCTTCCAAGTACATTGCATGAGGGTCTAACACCGGTAGAAGTTAATAAGCAAGGGTAATTGTGCTTTTGCCTATATAATCCCTCACAGTGGAAACACTGTGCCTGAAATACTTACATCTATAGGCAAGACGGTAATTCAGAAGAAAGTATACTTACGCACTTTTATTGTTCCTCAAATCTTCAATTCCATCACTACCCCGAAAAAGTCGTAATGGCTTATGTTGTTTCAATTTTGGGTTTTTGGCATTGTCTCTCCAAATAAGCCTCTCTCGATTTGTGCTGACGTATGATCATGCTCTCGGCTGCATCATTATAGAATTTTCAATACGGTATGCCATCAATCAATGGCTATATCTACAAGTAAGATAAGATAAGATAAGATAAGATTTTATTGTATCATAACACCCATTTCAGGCCGCATACAATTCATATACATGACATAAGTAACATGACAAAAAATAAATAGCAATATACATATATATATTTATAAGAATACTAAACATAAAATACATAGGTTCATGTTAAAAGTGAAAATATCTATCAGAAACATTACTTCAAAAATGTATAGATGTCAAAAGGATAAAAAAATAAAATGTGAAGTTTTGCCTTGTAATACCTTATTAGGTCGAGGCTTGATTTCTACGTTGAAATGCTTTATATATATAATGGCATACACTCACAGAAACTGAAGGGGGAGGGTCAAATAGATTTTCAAACGTTATGGCCAAATTGTTGTTACTGAATGTAGCAGAAAGAATATTTAGCCTAAGAGATTGATAGTGTGGACATTCAATTAAGAAGTGAAATTCGGTTTCTGCTTTAGAGAGGGAACAGAGTGCACATAGTCTCATATCAGGGGGGACGTTCTTGTACCGGCCCCTCTCTATTTCTAGTTTATGGGAACTCAATCGTAGTGCGGTCATAGCAGACTTGAAGTTTTTATTGTGTACATGAAGCAAATAATTAGCTGGATAGTCTATAGCAGGTTTTACAGTGCCGTAAGTTCTAAGTTTTGAATTGCCAGAAATATATTCGGTTTTATAAATAGTATTGAATTGGGACCTTATGGCCGTTTGAATGTTAGATTTTGAAAGTTGCAAGGGAGATAAGTTGAACTGGTCCATGAGGGAGGATATTGCTGCTGACCATGATAATTTGGGATTTGATTTGCCTATTTCTACATCTTCCACATATGCGGCGGATAGTAAAGGATTTGTACGTTTTATGTCGGGTGTATTTAATCTTTTATAAAATAGCAACATTCGTTGGTAAATATCAATTTGAATTGGGAAGATACCTAGTTCAGCCAATGATCCTATGTTTGATGATTTTTTGGGTTGGAGTAAAATGGATTTACAAGTTTTTATTGTGATTTTATTATGCTCCACATAGTTCCATTTGTGTAAATTCACATTTCTGCTATGTACTATTTGCGACCCCCATACATCACAGGCATACAGAGCTATTTGTTTCACTACTGCTTCATACAGTCTTATGAGTACTTCGGTTGGCAGGTGATCATCGGTGCACACTTTCTGACGGATACCAAACCATGACCTCCTAGCCTTTTTACTTAATTCATTTATCGCACTTTTGAAGGATGCGTTATTCGTTATATAGACTCCCAAATATAGATATTCATCAGTAGTTTGGAGCAGTTGATTGTTAAAAAAGAATTTCAATTGGGATTTGTTTTTCAGACTTATCTTATTGTTATTAAAAAGCATCACTTTCGTTTTTGCAGAGTTAATATTAAGTTTGCAATCAGTGCAAAATGAGTTGAGACATACAAGACAATTTTGAAGACCGACAGATTATGTTGATAACAGAACAAGATCATCTGCAAAAAGAATATGAGATATTTCATGCGAGTCAAGATCTGGGCTGTCAAAATTTAAATTAAATGTATTTAAACAAGTTTGCAGGTCGTTTAGATATATATTGAATAAAGTCGGGCTTAGGACACATCCTTGTTTCACACCCAAGGACGATTCTATATTTTTTGACAGACCATCTAAGGTTTTCACAGTATAAGAAGTATAGTTATACAGAGATCTAATTAGACTGAAAACTTTCCCATTGATATTATGCTGAAGTAATTTTAGCAACAAGCCCTTTCTCCAAACTGAATCAAAGGCTTTAGAGAAGTCGACGAAGCATAAGAACAAATCAGTTTTTTCCTTCTTACATTTATTAATCAAGGTTTTTAAAATAAAGACGTTATCAACAGTTCTATGATTTTTACGAAATCCGCACTGTGCATCATCTATGACATTATTATCCTCAAGGAAGTTTGTAAGTCTCTGATTTATGATTGACAAAAAGCATTTGCTTAGACAGCTAGCTAGAGCTATCCCTCTATAATTGTTGGGGTCATTCTTATCTCCTTTTTTATGAATGGGAACAATAAAGGAATTTTTCCAAGATTGGGGCAAGATCCCCGTTGAAAGAATTAGATTAAATAATTTCAAGTAGTGATCTAACATGATTTCCTGTGACATGAGTAGCATTTCATTTAGTATGAGGTCAGGCCCACCAGATTTGTTTCTTTTAAGGCTCGAAAAGGCTGTTCTCACTTCATCGGCAGAGACTGGGTTGTTTAGGGATGTATTTTCTGCATTAGAATCTAGCAAAGTTTTAATTAAGGTTTCCGTTTTATCATCATTAGTGGTTGGGGAGTTGTTTTGAAAAAGACTTGTGAAATGATTTTGCCAGTCATCCAGTTTAATATTACTATCTTCTGTTTGCTAATTTTGAATAAGAGAGTTCACAAGATCCCAATATTCCCTTGGATTATTAGATTCAAGTTCAGCGAGTTTTTTGAGGATAACATTTTTTTCTTGACGTTTTTTGTATTTAGTAACATTTTTGTATAATTTCTTTCTGTTAAAATAAATTTCCCTGAAATGCCTATTATGTACATTATTATTAAATTTATGCTGGGCTTCTATCATTTCTCTTTTTAGCTTCTGACAGTCCTTATCAAACCATTTATGTTTCTTTTTCTTTTTCTTGACCACCACAAATCTAACACAGGCTCTAGTATTATCTATTAAGATATTGGATAAGTCTGTAGTCGCTTCTTGGATACTATTTTGATTACTTGTATAAGGGGTCATTAGAAAATTATTCAGCTTAGCTTTTGTTGAGAGTTTTTGTAGTTCTTTTAGAAAAGAAATATCCGAGTCTGGTTTCCAAATAAATTTCCTTACTTTAATTTTATTTCTAGTAGTACTACCCGTTTTATAAGAGATAAGGTCAGGTGGGGATAAGGACGGTTTAGGACTCTGGGGGATCTTACATGTATTATGATATGGAGTACATGTACCAACAATATTGCACTCAATTAAGCAGTGGTCAGACATGTAGTTTAACGGAGACACCTTAAATAATTGGACATCATCAAATAGAGAGAGGCTGGTAAGAATGTAGTCCACAGTACTCTGACCATTGTAGTTTATGCAAGTGTACGAACCAAGTATATCCCCAATACACCTGCCATTAAGAATACAGATATCTGTGTTGTTACAAATCTGAATAAGCTCTCTACCCCAGGTATTGATTTTAGGGTCTTGGTTGTTCCTAACTTTTAAAAATTCATTATCAGGTATGTCATTAAGCAACTGTGGATATGGCTTAGTTATGCTACAAGTATCAGAATCAGGAAAATAAACATCACTTAAAACATGAGTTCTGGAATTGAAATCGCCCCCTAAAATAATTTTACCTTGGCTTTTGAAACGTAATATGTCATTCTCCAATTCGTCAAAAGGATCATACTGTCTTTTGTTCCATATTGGGGAGTTTTGTGGTGGGATATATACCGCGGCAATAAAGATATCTGATTTCAGATTTAAGTCGGTTTTACACAGTTTCAGCCAAATGGTATCACCATCTTTTTTATCAATAATTTGGACACTATCGCATAGTTTGGATTTAATATAAATAGAACATCCCCCACGAGAAAACCCAGCTTGGGAGACATTGTCACTCTTTCGACTAAATATGAAACCTTTAAAACCTTCAAATATATCTTTTAAGTGATCGGATTCTTCTTGCTCTACAGTTGTCCAAGATTCTAGGAAGCAAATAATGTCTAAATGTTTGATGGCGTTATAGAGGTCAGTGCAAATTTTAGGATCATTTACCTTAGAAGATAGGCCATTTATGTTCCAAAAACCAAGTGAAATCGACATTGCAAACTATTATGTTTTACGTTCAATATCGATAATAAACAGTTTTACGTTCAATATCAATAATAAAAAATGTTACATTGTACATGTTTAAGTACAATATATATACAAGAAAAAAGAAAGAAAATAAAAGTCAAAAATTAAAAGAAAATACACACACTGTAACTGTAAATAATATAAGACCTATAGATATATAACATAATGCTCCTTTGGATAAGAGGAGGAGAAAAAAAACAAAAAAAACTAGAACTGCGAAGCAGTAATGACGGGTTTCACCGGTGCCACGTTACCCTTGAACTTATGTCACTTCCGGTACCAATGAAACCGTTAAACAGGTTTCCACATAAGCATTGCACACATGAAATAAAATGGACGCAGAAACAACCAAATCCAGCAATCAATTCATTTGCTACATGTCAGTGATCCTGTCAAAATTACATTACTTCCGGTGATAATGAAAATGTTAAATTGGTTTATGAAATCAGAAATAGCATCATCACATGTTGAAAATTTTATGTAAATCCTATAATAATTGCCACCTTTATAGACCAAAAACCTTGAAAAATGACTTGTAGAAAATCGCCTATTTCTCTGCAACCGTACAAGTTAGAAACCATTTTGAGGTATCTGTATGATCGAATGAGTTCATTCTATTTGTTGATTGGAATCAAATATCATAATTTTAAAAACATTACAAATCTGATTCATTTGAATAAAATATCTGTTTTGAAGGCTAAAAATACAGTTTTTGCCAAAATGACGTTACTTCCGGTGATA